GCCAGGGCTGCCCTCAGAGTGGGGGGTGGCAGCAGCACTGGGAGGAAGGGCGAGCTACATTGAATTTTGGGGCAGCTGCAACCCCCCCACAGTCCCGCTTCCAGCACCACCACCGCCAGCCTGAAGCACAGCCCGGCCCAGCCCCCTGCTGGGAAGAGCCCAGCACCATCCTGGCCCCAGCCTGCAGCTGCAGCCCACCCTGCCTGCACCCTGCACAGATCTGAGGGCTACACGCTCCCCACCCCCGTCCCCACCCGGGATGCATGCAGCAGCAGGAGCCACCCCCACATGTCCTGCAGATGAGTCGCAGCTCTGTCCCATGCCCTGCCCCACCCCAGCTGGGCAGCACCTGACCCAGCCCCAGCCCCTGCCCCACTCCTCCTTCACTGCGGGGGACCGTGATCTGCCCTCTCACGCCCCTTCCCTTTCCCCCCCCCCCTTCCACCACAGCAGACTTACCAGCTGGACACTGCTCTTCAAGCTGTAGGGCTGCATATTGGAAATTGGATTGGTATTGGCAGATATTCCTACTTAAAAATTGGCTATCGGTATCAGCCCCCAAAATCCCTGGTGCATCCTATTAAGAAGCATACTAACATTTACCATTAAAACCTTAGCAATCATACAAAGAAGAGCAATAGAGCAACCTATCTAACCTCAGGTTTCTATAACCTCAGGTTTCTGTTTCACCAGAATGAAGGAGCCTCTAGCATCATCAAGGTAGTCGCAAGCTGTGGAATTGGATTGACCCTGTAGGAAGATTAATAGACTGAAATACAGAAGAGCTGGAATTCTAGTTTTGGCTCTAGTACCTGTTGAGCGACCATGGACATAAAGACTCAGTTTCCTCATCTGCAAAATAATACTGATGATACCTACCCTTCTTTTGTGAGGTGCTTTGAGTTCTATGTACAAAAAACATTGTAATATGAGTGTTTATAGACATGCTCCAGGAGGCGGGGGGGACTTTAATTAGTAAGCCACACTAATTAAAATAGCCCGAGCGTCATGCGCATCAGCGTCCCCATGCTGAAAAAGTGGCAGCATGGCATTTTAAACTAAAGCTTAATCGATGAGCTCTAGTTCAAAGTGCCCTGCTGCTATATTTCAGCACAGGGATACTGATACACATGATGCTGGAGGCTGCAGGAGTGTGTTAATTTTCAAACTC